GGAAGGCGTACGAAGGATTTTTTCGCCCTCAAAAATCCACGGCAGTTTTGAACCCGCCAACTTGGGTACAACAGTCCGGTACGCTAACCGTTTCACCATCGCCGCCACCGGCATTTTGATCGTCGACAAAAACAGTTCAAAACTCTTTGTGCACATAAGATCTTCTATGACCCATTAACACACAGACGGCCCTGCAAGTGGGGAAACGAATACCTAAAAGGTTAATGGACAGGAGTCCTGCGACCCTAAGGAGGCGTTCATGCTGAACGAAGGGTTAAAACACTCTTTGTGGCGTACTCCGCCCCTGGGCTCGCGGAAGTCTGCGCCGTACCGACTGACGTTTCAGCCATTCGGGATTCGGGACCTTCTTCAGGGTTATTTTTGCCTATGACACGGATGTGGCGTGCCCCAGGCAGCCAAGAACGAACAAACAATGCATACGCATATGCAATAACAAACATTTTGTCATTAGCTGTAACTTACTAACGTCTGTCCCCGTACGCAGGTAAAATTATTGAGTCAAATATTTAAAGTATGTGTAAGCGCGTGTAGTTTCGCATCTGTCTTCAGCACACAAAGTGAAGGTTGAGGGTCATTCCCACAGTCCAAACTTCTTTCTTTTAGAATTTGTTTTTGATGTGTTTTGGAGTGGTACTCACCTTCTTATCTTTAGTAGAATAACAGATCTTCGCCAGCTCATCCATAACTGAAGCTGTACCCTAAAGTAAAGAGAAACTTAGTTAATATTTTAGAAGTAAAAAATTTAATATTTTGTAAGTAAATTAAACTATCTGCGACCTTAAATATGCCCACTATATAAATCAACAATCGTGAAATCATATATGAAACTGTGAAGTTCATATACGAGTATTTACTATGGGTGTTCTATAATATTCGCTACAGTCGAATGATGACACAACTGACCCATTCCCGACTGGCTAAGATAAAACGTTTCTAGTTTGGCTCCATTTTTACGCTTCCAACTCTACCAATTGATTTTGACTCCCATATTCGCCGCCAGGAATCGACACAACGTCGGTCTGAGTAATTTGTATCCATTTCTTGCGTCCAGACCGTGCGATTAAGAGTGGAATGGTCGGATTTAATTTTGCCGGGATCTAATAAGGAATTTTTCCTGCCATAAGCATGAGGATTTTCCGTCCTTTTAAAATCCACCGCCACCAAGTAAATATGAACTTAGGATTAGGAAGCTAATGCCAAGTATTACACAATATAATATTTTCATTTAAGTGAACTTTAAAAAGGCAGCGAAAAAATATATAAGTTTCCTAATAGATTGCAAGATGTGTGATTGCGAAGTTCAAGGAAAAGAGTCCAACAAAAAACATCAGCAAAATTTCCCAATAGCTGCAATCCTTCATAATGAGTTCAATATTCCAACAGTGCGACCGAGTAAATGAGTACTGCAATGAATCGTTAACAGATTGTGGCAAATTAGATCTTACCCCTTGCAACGTTTTCTGTATATATTTAAAGAATAAATCCCACGTGAATCAGAAAACGTGTCTCAAAATTCGATGAAAATTTAATTTTGCATAACTTTTTAAACAATGAGTTTGGTAACTACCGTTTCGTGACCCTCTAACTGAAGATGTATTGTTACTGGGGACATTCATTTTGTTATAAAGGCTCCAATACAAGAAGTACAAGGGTCGAAAAGTATTCCGGTATGGTAGTACCGCTTCTGGTTCAGGACGTAATCAAAGTGTATGAAGTAGAAGCAGTATTTCATTTTAGAATATCATGTTGTTTATCCTCTCTGTTTATTTCCCTTCAAATAATAATCATTACAACACGAGAGTTCTAATAACCCATGGTCTACTACAAACACCAAAATCTGCTTGATTATAAGAATTATAAGAACACTTGTTCTAATAATCCATAGCCTCCTATTGACGTCACCTTCTGCAGAAGGAATACTGAAATTTAACGAACATTTTAACACATTTTAGTTTTTACAAACTTGATAAATCGTTTTACGATATCCGTATCGTAACGCGTTACTATTAACTTACGAGCTAGTTTGTAAAAACTATCACTTGCTATCACTTTAATTTTTTTTATACTGAAAGTTTTCCGACGAAAATAAGTTTCAACTACTAAAATGTTACCTTAGTAAACTAATTCATTATTTTAGTTTTGTTCGAATGTTTATTTGCATTTGAAAATCAAAGAAAGTCGCCCCCGGTCCCGCCCTGTGGGATGCCTCGGAGCGTCTCCACCCGTGCGGGGGCCGGCGGAACGGAAGCAGCGTGAAACAGTCTGCGCGCTTAGGCAAATTCCAATTCTCTTGAGTAGAAAGGGAACCGCTTCTTGCGTTATCCCTCACGTTCTCTATTTCGAAACAGATCATTCCGCCTATACTTGTTAGCTTGACTCATCTCTGCACTTCCTCATGACTTCTGAACTTGCCACTTATATACTTTCCACTACACGATCAACCTTCCCAACCACGATGCCTTTAACACAAAATATGAATTGATGTCTTATTTTACGTGGCGAGATTCGGGTCATCAGGCCCGCTCTTCCGTCTGACCACGCAAATTTCGCTACGCTCCTTTCACCAACCAGCAGAGATAGGAGGCATTTCTTGGGCGAGAAACAGGCTATTTGAATTTAGCTCAGAGGCGTCATTTAGGCTTGAGGATCTTTTACATGCAAGTGGGAGAGCCGATACTAACATGGGACAGCCGGCTTTACTTCCCCTCCAAAGGAAGGCGTTCGAAGGACTTCTTCGCACCTAAAAATCCACGGCTCCAATCGGGTTTAAACCCGCCAACTTGGGTATAACAGTTCGATACGCTAACCGTTACCCCATCGCCGCCGCTAAAATATAATAGCCACTCTCTGCTCATGTACACGATACAAATCTTTGCTCAAGGAAAATATTCCATTACAAACGTTGTAAATGAATATTTAATTTCATTTAAATCCCCACGACCACAGGCAACTGAAAGAAAATCTTTGCAACCTAGTCTCATTTTACGAAAAGCTCTGGCAACGTCGTTTTGAGGGCACTCTCAAACCATGTTACAACTTGTCTCAAGACGTTTGTACTCACAAACAAAGGCCAGTTGGCCAGGTACTCCTGGATGAAGACTTCCAGCCAGTTGAAGCGGTCGTGGAAGATGATGCACGCCCAGGGCTCGTCGAAGTAGTCGTAGAAGTCCAGGATGTACCCCAGCTCGAAGCGCTCCATGACGTTGTTCAGCACGCGCTCGTGCTTACCGAATAACTGAATGATGTTCTGCACCGCAAAGTTCTGAAGAACACACGACACGTGAGACAAGTAAGACAATCGAAGTGGGCATATAGACGATTATCGCTTCTTATTTTCTGGCTATTTTTAACAGCGTCAAATATCAAGGGCCGCACTGCAGTCAAGTAATATACTTCTCACCGATTATATTCAATGTGCTTTTTTTTTGTTGAAAACGAGAACAAAAAATTAAGGGAGTCTTTTATAGTAAACTAATTTGTGAATGTGAATAAAAATATGAGATTTATGAACACCTCATTAGTGAAACACGTTAGCTGATTTCGAAGAAAGCAGTCTTTACGTTGTACCCTTTCTTGAGCAGGTGAATGCACTGGTGGGTTGCATTTAACATAAACTGTTTGTCATGAAGAGTGAATAATGATTCTAGATAAATGTTTACAGGTGGGATGATTGAATGGTTTATATGATAGTATTAGAAGCCAACCACGCCACAACTATAAGGTGAAACCACCCCTGCCTAGTGCGGGAGTCGAACCTGCAGGCTTCGGAAACGCGTACTCGGTCGCTGGTACACGCTTGTGCTTAGCAGAGGCTAACACATTTATCCGATAAAGCTCAATAATAAAATCTTCCATCTCGCTAATGAGATGCGGAGCTGAAACAGATGTTTGTTGTTTGAGTTCAAGTAGCTATGATTCAAAGGTGTTCACTTGTAACATTCTTAGATGCACTTTAACAAAATACGCGATTTTATTATTTATGAGACTTAACTTAAAAGATGCCATTAGTCACTGGTAGATATATACTGATAAGATTAATTGTCTATAAAAACACTAGATTGGTTTCAGAAAAATTTTGTACACTGCACATTTTGAAATGACAATAACATTGAATTTGTGCATTTATGTTACCTGAAGGTAACATTATCTATTTTCTGTAATTTCAGATTTATATTTTTAATTGCGATGAAAATTGCCTGTAAAGACAATAACCCGTCTTATCTAGAACTTGAATTTTTAGAATTATCCGTAATATTTTGGAATTTGTTTAGAATTCAGAACTTGATTTGAAATAATAAAATGATGACGTTGAATTATGCGAATATTATTAAAAATGCTTATGTCATTAATTGTTAACATAAACCAAATATACAAGAATTGTTTCAAATTATTAAATAAATTCTTAAAACCGAATGTCGAACTAACCACTGCATTTCAATTGAATTAAAAATTGTCCAATTGCTAGTATCCAAATGAATTGAAAATTAAAAAAATTCAAGAGCTTGAATCTAAACACAGGAATAATTACTTTACTTCAATAATTCTACTACAGTATTGGTGAAAAATTAATTAGGGAAAAATCTCAATGGTAAATGGATCCATAAACACAAATATGTAAGATTCTAATAATCGTCTAATATCCTGGCTCTAAAAATGGCTCTAAAATTGGTCACCGGTGGAAAATTGGCAATTCCGCCACCGATTTGAGCAGAGTTAAAGGTATTTTCTAGTTCTGCATCACATTTGCTCCCACCACTATCAGCTATTTTGATTCAGATATTAGTGGACAGTGATCAACATAACGAAGGTCCCAGACTGTTTATTCTTGGCATGCATAGTTTCCTTGCGACGTGGAAAGGGAAACTTTTTAGGACCTGATCTATTAGAGGGGATACGTTTGTCGAATTTTAGCCAGAGATCTGTAGCGCACCCCCAAGTGTGACATGGCTCACTGAGAAATCTCCTTCCTTCAGAAGAACATTGCCCTCTAGGCGGTTTGACCACACTGGGATTGTTCTATCTCCCAAACCACATGAATAAGCTATTCTATTGTTTTCTGTATTTGCACGCCAGAAGATAGCAAGGCTGATGAGTGGGCCCATCAGCTGAATATTGATTCTTGCGCCATTGTAAGTGATACCAACAGAAAAATGTACTTACTGCTCTAGTGTAGCAGGTGACACTCTCAATGATGTTGTTGGCGTTGAAGTGCAAGCGAAAATAGCCCTGTTCGCTTTTGCAGTCACCGGTTACCAGCACCTGGCCCTAAGTGGAACATGAAGTCAGTTTACCACTACAAGCGTAGAAGCTAGACCAAACTACCTGCGAATATCAAAATCTCTATCACTTTTCTGCAACCAAAAATTAATTTAGTATTTGGGTTAAAAAATATTGGATCTAAGAATATCTTTCATCAAACAATTGGTTTTATTCCGTCTTCATTTGACCTACTGAGCAAATAGTAATTCCTTGCTTTATTTCTCACACTAAAGGCAGCTTTAGTCACAGCGAAAAGTCTCACTCAGTTTTTCCCCGTTTTACAAGACAAATAATGAACATCATTGGAATGATATGAAAACCTAAAAATAAACTCAGATATGTATTCACAAATTAAGGCAGATTTTCAATGAATGTGGTATCGTAATTTGATGAAAATTAAACGAGAGTGGTGTCATTCAAAAGACACAAAGTTAGGGAATGCATGGGCAAATGAACAAATAAATGGATTGAAATGTCTTGGATTTAAATGAATTTGACATGTTATGTTATGTTATGTTATATTATATTATTATACTATTATACGTAATATTTCATTCGTTATTGTCAAGTCACTGTAAACACGTAGTTGAGAGATGGACATTAACATCAATGCAATTGAGGAGAATTGATTTTTTTAGAAACGAATTGTCTCTGCTTTGTGACAAGTTTTTTACCACATGACCAAACTATGTACATAAAAACACGTATACTTGATTTATTGATAGGCATAATTTAAAAATACGAAGATAATCCGAAATATAATATCTAGAAAACTCAAAAAATATGATTCGTTAACTTATGCTACAAAACAATCCAAGAGGAAATGTAGAACATGCCTTGAAGAGATGGCGCGAAAAATTTCGAGACGGAACAGATCAAGAGGTGTAATACTTCATGTTATTTGTTGTTAGAAATTTGCATAATATTATCATCAATATTAATTATGATACTTAATTCCTATTATGGGTTATGAGTAACGATGGCTAGTGCTTACGTATGAATCCTGGCACATAGCGACCTCCAACGGCATTTGCGGTCCTGGGGCGACAACATTGAGATAGTTGTACCCTCCCGGGAGAACGCAACACGTGATCAGCGGCTGCAGGAATTTCGGGATTTTGTAACAAGCTATATCGCTCGAATATTTCTCTATATCTTTCGGTTTTCTAAACACATATTTTCTTCTCAGGGCGTATTCTAGTTCTGGGTCTATTTCCTTCAGAAGTTCGTTTGCCAGCTCCGTTCCGACCTGCAAACAAAGGAAATACAACTTTGGCTTGCGATATGCTCAAATGTCCTGAGGTTCTCAGTGTGAAGAATTTATTACTTTACAATGTAACGATTTATTGCTACATTCCACATTATTTGTGAAAAATAACACTAAAGACGTTCTCTTTTGGATACATGTTGTACGAAATTGTCATCATAAAGAAACAACCTTCACAGAGGCCAAATATTTTCAACACATTTTGGCAGTCATTCTTATAGCATTCATATTCTCTAACTTCGTATTTACTCTCTTGATCACAACAAACCTATCTAATATACCTTCTAAACCCGTTCATTACATATTACAAATTGTATGATTCTCTAGAAAATACGATATCAAACAATTTCAACGCTTCGAACACCTTCAGAAAAAAAATGTCTTTTCCCCTTTTAACTGGATTACAATAGAGAATAATGTGTGAATGTATATTAAGAACAAAATATTAAAGAGCATTCTTATCATGTAAATATACTATTAAAATTATACATTCATGTTGTTCTGTTTTGGTTCGTCTGTATCTGATGATAACGTTTCACTTCTTCCTTCGTACAATGTACAGTTTGTTTATGAATTGTGTTATATTTGTTATGGCCTACGCTTTCTTCAAGCACATCATTATCTCTGGGGTGAGTCGTCGCACTGGGGTAGTCTGCACGATAGAACCTCGGAGTAGTGAGACGAGAAGTTTGGACGATGAATGTGGAATTCCTCTGGGTGATTAGATGCGAAACTAGGTAAACGTATCTTCGTAAGTTAACAAAGTTGGGCTGCCACGTAACTATGACGTCATCATAGGTCTCGTAAATAATTTTTTTTTAAAGAAAAGCTTATTATCTAACAAATATATCATGCACTGGTTGATCATTAGGCAGAAATATATATTTTTTGCGGAATGGGAATTAAGTCATAAGATCCGGGCAGAAGAGTCGCTCCGTTTCTAGCGATTTTATTCAGTGCTTGTCGTGGAATGTTCTAAGACTACAATAATCGCATGTTCGCAGCCTGAATTTCCACGCATCACACTGTCTCCACAACAGAACGTTAACGTTCATATTAATGATTAATTAATTAAATTTAAGGATTTTTTATTTGAGTTCGTGCGCCTTCAATGGCATTGAGACCTACAAATTTAACGAGAATATGATATTGGCAATGATCAGGGAACTGATGACGAAGCAATGGTGGCAGAGAGACTGAGTAAACGCGAGACCTTCGAGAAAATCTGTCGAATGCTCAATTGGTCCACCACAAATTAAAACGTGGATTGGCCGGGCAGAGAAGCCGGATCCCAGCTATGGAAGACATACGTGCTAGCCAGTTCATCACGAGATATTCAATTGAAGTGCAATGACGACGACGACGATAATGCTGAATGTATAGGAAAATATGGTTAATAATTAGAACGTCAAGTGACACGGGATCTTCCGAAAACTCCATATGCCTACAAGATATTCCAAATCAATCGACTACTATTTCGATATCACTTCATAGAGTTTGAATGACAGAAGTTCGAATGTGAATATTCACTGTTAAGAGGTACCCATGAATATGTACAATTTAGGAGATGTTGTATAGGTGTTGTTGTGAGTTATCGTTGGCATTTCCAATGAAATAATTATATGCGTCGTCATTGCCAACAATATTATTTATTAAAAACAGCTTTCGATGGCTTAGCCATCATCATCAGTTTTCTGCTGTATGGAAGCCACAAAAACGAAACCAACCTACCAAACTACCACCGTAGTCGTTTTTGTGGCTTCCATACAGCAGAAAACTGATGATGACGGCTAAGCCATCGAAAGCTGATTTTTTAATAAATCATATTGTTGATAATGACGACGCATATAATTCTTTCATTAGGAGATGTTGTCAAGGAGATCGGTGACGTGGTAAACGTAAGAGCCTCAGTCAAGGAGTTCACCAGCAGGTGCGCCCAGAGAAAACCAGGGGCCCGGGCCAGTTGATCCACAGAGGGTTTTTATTTCAAACAAAACATTCCCTCCTCCCCAACTCATAAACAGAATTAATTTCTCTATGTAACAGAAATAACTTACAGTGTTAAATTTGGATTACAGATTAATACATTTTAATTTCTTATGAATGAAAAAAAAAATCGGGGCCCCAATTCAGCCGGGGCTTGGGGCAAGTTGCCTCAGCTGCCCCTCCCACCTGCTCACGAATGCTCATAGGGCCGGTTTCACCAACCAGGATCAAATTCATAGTTGATCCGAGTTTCGTGATCCTGATCCGCGGAGTCAAGACCGACTTGATCCCTGCGCGTTTCACCAACGGTTTGAGACTTCGAAGTTAATTCGGATCCCATGATTCGTGAGCAGTCGTGAAAATGCGCGGTTAGCAACAATTTTGCAATGCATTGTGGGTATTCTCGCGGTCAGCTGTAGGAAACTAGTTGTTTTGATTTCATTTCGTTCCGTCTGTGTTGTGTTCTGTTGCGTGTGGTAGTGTTCTTGTTCGGTGATAGATTCACATGACGTTGGAAATAATGCATAGACAACGCCCAATTTCTCTCCAGTTGAAAGAGAATTACTCGAAAGCTTAATGAGCAAATACAAGGAGAGTTTTAATGCTCGTTCTGACATTTCAAAATAATCGCTTCTTTTGGGAATTACTCGTGGTGTCTCTCCCGATAATAAATCTTCAATGAATTCATTATTAATAATAATAATAATAATATTTATTGAAGCACATTCGAAAACATACTCTATTTTTACGACACAAATTACCTTAACAAGAACAAAAATTGGAAGTATTAAACACTAAAAAAGTATTCAATAAAACTTTCCCACGCGAATTGCAATACAGATATCACAAAATGCTTTTTTTCTAATGATACGTATAATTACAGTAATTTGAAGCCAAAATATATTTAAATTTTACTTCCCAATACCGTGAATTCTAACCTTAAATTGTGTTAACCCTACTTTTATTTACAATACTATCTTAAAAAACACATTTGCTCAACAAATATTACCCGTAATCCTACTTCTTAGCGAATACTTCCATATTGAATCTAAGTCCAACTACTGGTATTTACTTAAAAAATATAGGAAAACTGGAATAGCTAGACGACCCAGACGAGAAATAACTCCTGATCTGGCCGTGATCCACCGCTCGGTGACGGATCAATTGCGAGTCAAATTTGATCCGAGCCAGACACGTTGATTCGTGTCAAGTGCGTGGAGAAACGTACACGGGATCAAACTGTAGTTGATCCGGATCAACTGCGGATCATCATCTTGATTCCTGTTGGTGAAACCGGCCGCGTAGTGTTTGATCGTGCGTGTCGGCGTGGGTTTCGACTCACTCCCGGAGTTGAAGAAGCTCTGGCGGAAGCTGGTCGGCGTAGAAGCGGCGGCGCGACTTGGTCATGGGCCGCCGGCCAGCAGACGAAGGGCGTCGTTGGGTGCGGAAGTGGTTGTAGAATGACGCAGGTGGCGTCGTGTACACCAGCGACCGCGCGGTTCAGCGCAGGAAGGTGCGCGTCGACACCTTCTTCTCGTCGTAGCAGAACATGGCCACGCAGTCGATCGTCAGCATCTCGGTCCGCGACTCGAAACGAAACACGCGTCACCTGGGACGAAGCGGCGCAAGGACCGCAAGTTGCACTGGAGTCAGGCTTGCTTCAGATTCCTGCAGAGGCAGCGAAACACCTAAGATATTACGAAATAAATATCCGCAAGATGTTACGACAACGGTATCGTACAGCTCTCTATTAAATATCTATGTTTTGTAAGCCCAAAAACTCGTAAATATTTCATTTGAGCTATAATTCTCGTTTAAATTTCACTATCATCCTACGAAATGTAACACACTGATGTTGGTACTGTTTAAATTGCAGAGGACATGGGTTATTACAATACAGTCGAATTTCCGGTTATAGTAACTCGAATATGAGTGGAACTCTCCTGTTGAAGTGAACTTAAGTCACTAGCCGGCCCTTGATAGAGATAAATTTGCTATATGAAAAAGCGTACCAAAGAAACAATGGAAAACAATTTTTTTGGCTATCCGGGATACGCCCGCGTCCAGGGCACAGGTGCATAGTTTATTTTTAAGAACAAATTAAAGATATGAATATTTTCGGTCCGATACCTATTAGACGTATTTTGCTGCAGTCTCTATATTAAAAATCATATAATTGCGGACAATTTTCTATTTTATTTTGACGTCGAATATAGTGACCTCTTGTTTAGTGAACGGCAATACGTTAGTTCACAGAAGTTTGTTATAATCGGAGTCGACTGTATTTGTCTTCTAATAACTCTTATTACAAACAAGAGATCAATTTGACTTAGGATAATCAAAGATGTTAATCAAAATGTTTTAAATATTTATAATATAAATTATTTTATATATTTTTCTAAACTAAGAATCGTTTTATTTTGCAGTGTATCGAGAGTTACTAGTCGATTTGCATCATTTAAATTGCAAAGCGGTTTGACATTTCTACTGCCGAATTTTAGTCAGTGCATCTTTCAAATGGGTGCTTTAAAAATGACCATCAATTGTAAAAGAAAAATCTAATTTCCGATGTTAATGTTTTACATTTTTCGTGCCTAGTATTTGCACAGATTGAACCTGAGTACAGCAAACGACAGCCATCCTTTGCTGGACTTGGAGCTTCGAATCCCGGGTACCACGTTAGGGTTGTTTCTCTTAACTTGTGAGATGTACTTTATTTTTTTAACTCTGATTGATTACGATGATTTCCTGATCATCCCCGTTAACACGCATGCATCAAACCTCACGGCCGTCGCTTCAAGAATTTTTTGTAGACACACATGAACAAGAACGACAAAAACCTAGATATTGTTTCTGTCAATTGGAAGGTCGCTTCCTGATTGTTCATGTAGCTGCTGTAGACCAATGTAAGGACCCGAATGAAAGAGACTTTGAATGAGAGGATCTGTGTCAAAAAGTGAAGTGTCACATGTGTAAGTGCGTTATACAAGATTTCCTACCAAATGTTTATTAAGAAAAAATTATCATCACGGACACAGATTCAAGTCCTGGAGTTTCTATTTTAAGTTATTTATTTAATTTTTATTTATTTATTTATTTAATTTTTATTTATTTATTTAATTTTTATTTATTTATTCAATTTTTATTTATTTATTTAATTTTTATTTATTTATTTATTTAATTTTTATTTACTTAATTTTTATTTATTTATATCAACATTGAACGAGATCTACCCTTTGTTCTATAACTGTTCGGTGTATTGACCTGGAATGGGCCCAGCGCGTGGGGGATTCCTCTCGATCCCTCTCATCTCCTTCCACGCACCTTCTTCTCGATCTCGTCGTACTTCCAGTCGTTGAAGGTGCAGTGCGAGTAGATGTTGATGTTGAGCTCCTTGAGCTCGGCGATGACGGCGTCGTCCACCTCGGCGTCGTTGAAGCACGAGACGCTGGGAAGCGAGGGGAAGGCCTCGACGACGGTGATGTAGGGCGCCGGGACGTCGCTCACGAGCAGCGTCGCGACGCACGCCAGCGCCTCCACGCAGTGGCCGTACACGATGACGCTGGGGTGCGGCGAGGCGGAGCTGTCGTCGTCTGAAGAAGAGGAGCGCGTGCACGAACGCACGGGAGGGTTCGGGCAAACCTTATTTTCAGATTTGTCCCTCTGCCGCTATGTTTTGTGTTTTCTGATTTATAAGTAAGAAACCGTATCTGGAAAAATCTTGATTTTAGAAAACGTTACTTTTTTTAAAACTAAAGATCCCTATTTTGAAAGACAGTTGTGGCTCTATTTAAAAAGCCTTTTTAAAATATAGTAAACATTTTCTTAGTTAACTCAAATACATTTAACTTTTATTGTTAGTCAAGCACAACGTTTCGACGATATTCATCGTCTTCTTCACGCACATATATTTTTAATTTTTCGAAAATAACATTATTGACAACTTTGTTCTCACATTATTAGTCTTAAGAAACATTGTACTCTAAGAGTAAAAAAAAATAGTTTTTGTAAAATGAAACAGGAAAAGATGGTTTTTGAAATATAACATTTTGTAAGAAGGAGTTATTTCCTAATTGTTTTCCTTTTTCTTTTACTTTTTTTGGACAGGATTTTCGCTACATGGCTAGGTCGATGTGGAATAGTTGCTATCTGAAGAAGAATTCTAGCGGCAGGTTGCTCTGATCGGTAGTTTTCCGTAGTTTATCCGATCAATACTAGGCGAATGCCGGGGCAGTTCCCTATCAAACAGGACACAGACCGCGCGCTCTTTCCTTCCCTTTATTTGTCCTATCCTCACACATTTACACTTTTATGAACTACACTACATCACAAGCCGGTCGAAAGCTTAAGAGATATCTGGGTGGGGTCGGTGCTGTGCTGGCGGGAAATATCTGTTGGGAAAACACTGCTGGCCGACAGGTGGGGCGGCGTCGGTTCTCATCATCCAACGGAAGTATATCACTGCAACATCCCGAGAAAGAACACGCACTACACTAACGGGACTAATAACCTTAGAGGTGGGCGCCCTTACTAATCAATCAATATGCTGCTCTGTCGCTAGTGTTTACGTCGATCTTCACCTTTGTCGCCACCATGGAGGCTGAAATTCTAGGACCCCTCGCTTAGAGGAATTGAAGTGGCAATAGTTGTCACCCTGCGCGAACTCAGCCGGCCAGGAAATTTAAGATATCCAATTATTTGATAAACCGAAAAATTCGAAATAGTAATGATATCGAATTATTTGCATTTGAGGTATCGGCTAATTTAATATCTATGTATTCGAGCACTTAGCAAATTTAATATTACATTTATTTAGAAATATTTCGAAATTCGAGATCTCGCGATATTCGAGATATCTACGAAGTGGAGGAATCGCCGAGTAGAGAGGGGGAGAGAGAGGGGGTGCGCACCGCCAGCGGCCGAGTACTGGCCGGCGTGGTAGTGCGCGTCGCTGGCGTCGCCCGAGGGGACCCCGCTCGGGCCCCCGCCCAAGGGGCCCATCTCCTGCATCAGCGACTGCAGCATGGTGAGCGAGTTGGCGGCGTCCAGCGGCGTGTTCACCATGAAGATGTTGAGCGGCTCCTCCAGCAGCTCCTCCTGCGCGCGCACACGCCTTTCAGCCTCTCAGCGCAGAGCTTTTACAGCTCTCCTCAACGATCAGTCTGGTGGGCTTACAGCAGCACATACTTTCTCGTATTATTTTGAACTTTTGAAATTTTTCGAAAATTACGAGAGTATAATTAAAGTGAGACCTGCGCCAGTCTTCTATTAGTGGAAACAATTAAAGAAACAATTTGGTGAATTTTTGAGAATTTTTTAAATTAATTTTCATTTTCTTCTGGCAGAAATAGCGCGAAAATTACTCTTTAAAAAATGTTGGACGTCTTTTTAAAGAGCTGATGTTTTAATTTAAAATTTCATTAAAGACAAAAATCTTCATCTTCAAATGCGTAAATTTGCAGTGTTAACTTTTTTGCAGCTTTCGAAAACACAGGGTTCATCGACAATGGGAGCAGTATCAATTTTTTACCGTTCTTTGATATATATGAGAAGAACATTTTAACAAAATTGGAGCCGTTTTTGAGGAACAATTGTTTAAGAGTTGCCTATATCTCACCCAAAATTAGGCAAAAACTACTGACATTTTTAAAAAATTGCACATGACATTATTTACAAATTTGGATTAAAGCGAAAAATTTTGAACTGTTGCAATTTTCGATAAATCAGGAATTTCTACGACAGAAACGCGTGTCTTTTAAGCATCCTTTACTCTATCCGAGGACAAAATATATTTTAAAAAAATAAAGTCCTTTTTGAGGAAATTTTGAAAATGTTGAAATTTCATGTAAAATGACCCCAAAATAAAAATAAAAGTTTCAGGGTCTTGAGTTAGTTTACACTTTTTGAGGATATACATTTTGAAGAAAATCGGCAGAACGGCCTGTAGGCATTAGAATTGACTGCGGACAGATGGGCAGAACGTTTACCGTATATTTTTCGATATCAAGTTCCCACAAAACATGGATTTGGGCTACAGCACATGTTAGAGGGTTTTTTTCTAAATTTAGAAACTGGTCTTATCCAATTTTTCATTACCAGGGCCCAGCAAAAATAATTTTTGTGTGGAATATTCGCCGTTTTCAGGTGCACAATACCAAAGCTTTCTCTTAAGTCTACGTAAATCGTCAACGTTACGTTAACAACGTAAAGTCAACATAATGCCTTCAACGTAAGTCGAGGACGCAAAAAGAAGGAGAAGGAGAAGAAGAAGAAGAAGAAGAAGAAGGAGGAGGAGGAGGAGGGGAAA